TCACAAACGCCCTCTCTTTCTCTCTGTAAAACAAAGACGCAATGCACAAAAGCACGCCGCACCGCATATCCGTGATATCCTGCACTTTCTCCATAAGCATAGGTTCCGACGTAAACTCGACTTTATACTGCAGCTGCACGTTCTGGTCTTTCACATCCTCCACCTGCTGCTTCAGCTGCTCAATCTGCGCCACCAACGACGCTCTTTCCTTCACCATCTACAACAATAACAACAACAGAACAACAGCAACAACACAAAAAGACAGCCCACATCAACCACAACCCCCAAAAAGGTGAGACAAACCCAACACTCGCCACGACCACAACCCCTCCCTCTCTCTCCTTCTCTATCTTTCAGTATATATCCCCATCATCTTCCACAACAAACTCACTTGATCCACCAGCGTCTTCTTCTCAAACTCGTGCTGTCCCACTTTCACCATCAAGTTGTTCAGTCGCTTCAGGAGCATGGCCATAGCCGAGTCCTTGCTCTCCTCTCGTTGATTCCCATACTTCGCTCCAATTGGAGCGCTCACGTGTGGATCTGAACCGGCCACAAGAGGCTCAGGAGACGCCACGGGCGTTACGGGCGCTGTCGGAGCCTCGGGCGACAGCGCGCGCGTCTTGACGGCGGAAGTAGCAGCAGCTGCATCCGCTGGTTCGTTTTCTGCCTCTTCGTGGTCGCCAAAGAGCACGGTCCACATGATTGTAGCCACTTCGCTGCGCACGATCAAGCGCTGGACGAAGGAGTGACGTTCGTTGTTTACAATGCGAGGAAGGCGGGGAGGACGGCGGGGACGGGGTGAAACCCACTCGCGTGAGGACTTGTCATGTATGCTGGATGACAGGATGACGCGGTGGTCCACGTCATGCGCGAGTGACTGGCAGTTTGTGTTTCCTACAAAGTGCTTTTTTATTACGTTCTAATTGGCGAATGAATGTCCGCATGTACTGATATACGTCAACAAGGACGTGGGCGAGAGTGTACCCGAACAGCGGCACACTTGGGGCCTGCGCAGAACCAACCAAAGCGAGGAGCTACATCCGTCTCCACGCTTGTCGCCCGCCATCACTCGTTGATCGTCTGTTGACGCAGCGGTAACCCGGTCGAGCCCAGCAAGCCCCAAATGGTCGTCTACAACTTTAAGAAGATCCAGACCGTGCCCACAGCCAATGACTTTATCGACATTGTGCTCACGCGCACGCAGCGCAAGACGCCGACGGTGATCCACCCGACGTATGCCATCTCGCGGATCCGAGCGTTTTACATGCGCAAGGTCAAGTTTACGCAGCAGACGTGCCAGGAGAAGCTCAGCCAGATCATTGACGACTTTCCTCGCTTGGACGACCTCCATCCTTTCTACGCTGACTTGATCAATATCTTGTACGACCGCGACCACTACAAACTCGCGCTGGGTCAAGTGAACACGGCACGAGCTCTGATTGACAACATTGCCAAGGATTATGTACGCATGATCAAGTATGGTGACTCACTCTATCGCTGTAAACAGCTCAAACGTGCTGCTCTTGGACGTATGTGCACGCTGCTAAAAAAGCAGAAAGCATCGCTTGAATACCTTGAAGAGGTCCGCAAACACTTGTCGCGTCTGCCATCTATTGATCCAAATACGCGCACTTTGTTGATTACAGGCTTTCCTAATGTGGGCAAGTCAAGCTTTATGAACAAGGTCACGCGGGCGGATGTGGACGTGCAACCCTATGCTTTTACGACGAAGGCTTTGTACGTTGGTCATCTAGACTACAAGTATCTCCGCTGGCAGGTCATTGATACCCCTGGTATTCTTGACCATTCGCTGGAGGATCGGAATACGATTGAGATGCAGGCTGTCACGGCGCTGGCACACTTGCAAGCGTCCATTTTGTTCTTTATGGATATTTCGGAGCAATGTGGCTTTACAATTGAACAGCAGCTGAGTCTGTTTGAGAACATTCGACCACTTTTTGCAAACAAGCCACTGGTGTTGGTATGCAACAAGATTGATCAGATGCGGTTTGACGCTCTCTCGGAAAATCACCAGAAAATGATTAATACAGCGGTGGAAGAGACCAAAGCAAAGCTCTTTACAATGTCCAACCACTCGGAGGAAAACGTCATGGATGTTAGAAATTACGCGTGTGATGAGCTGCTGTCACATCGTGTGAATTCAAAGATGAAGGGCAACAAGGTGGCAGATGTGCTAAACCGTCTCAGTGTTGCAATGCCGGTGGCTCGTGATGACGTGAAGCGTGAAATTACCATTCCTGCCAGTGTCATTGCCGCCCGTGAGAATCCGAATGGTGTAGTGCCACGCACCCTTCAGAAGGACAAGATGAACGCCAACGGCGGTGCTGGTGTATACTCGTTTAACTTTAAAGAGCACTACAAGGGTATGCTTCGCAACGATGATTGGGCTCAGGACGCTATCCCTGAGATCTGGAACGGCAAAAACATTGCCGACTTTGTCGATCCCGAAATTTTGAAGCGTCTTGATGCTTTAGAGCAGGAAGAGGACGAAGCTATGGCGAACAACGCTCCTATGGATGAAGATGAGGAAATGAGTGATCTTGATGACGAACAGAAGGATAAGGTTGCTCGCATTCGTGAAAAGAAGGCCATTATTGTCGCTGCGCACCGTCAAAATAAGAACAAGAACCACTCAAGTGTTGCTCGGAAAGTGCTGGCCAAGCGTCGCACACTGACCGACACGAAAAAGGAGCTAGAGGCTCTTGGCGTGGACACAAGTCACATGAAGCACGCCGAAGCAGTCGTGGCGAAGCGAAAAGCCGACGACGAAAGTCGTGGCCGTAAGCGCAACCGCGAAGACATGGATGTGGACATGGAGGACGCGACCGAATCCTCTGACTTTCGTGTGCGTGCTCGAGCCAAGTCAGCACAGCGCTCCAAATCCAAGAATCGCTCCCAGTCTCTTGTTGCGCCGCGTGACAAGTCTGGTTTCGGTGACGATGCCTCAATGGCTGCAGTCAAGCATGCTACAAGACTCACACAGCGCAAGGCTGCCAAGATGGGTCGTGCCGGCGAGGCAGACCGGATATCAGTTCCAAAGCTGGCGAAGTGGCAGAACTCGGGCAAGCGTGGCCATGGCAGCACGAATTCCCGTTAAGCTTGGACAAGGGATCGTTTCCCAAATGGTTGTGCGGTTAGAGGCGGCAATGGAGAGACAGAGGAGAAGAACCTATGTTCTCGGTAGCGTCTTGTACTCTCCGCGTTCCTTCTGAATACATTCTCATTTTCTTAGGCGATCCGCCTTGACGAGGCATCCTGTCTGCTGCCTTCGCATAACCGAAGTCATCGTCAAGATGCCTTGGAGAAAAGCATGTCCTCGCACTTACCATGGTGCCAACTCGATGAAGGCTGACTTCAGGCTAGAAGGTTTGACAATAACAACCACGATCGTAACCTTTCATTCACCAGCGTCCTGTTCAGCTCAAGAGGATTTGAGCAGTTTGCATCTCTTTCCACCTTCGACAGCGCTAAATCTCCCCTTGCTAAACTGCAAGCGTACAGAGCATGGTCGCATATAGTACGCACTATGTCACCTCTCGTCAGTAGGTTCATGAGACTACGCGTACAGCTTTCCAGCTTTGGCGTTGTCTTTGCAGTTAATGATCAAGTGTTATACGGGCTTGATAGACTATCCGACCAAAAGCTGATCCTTCGAATTGAAACGCAGTTGCAGCGTGTCGGCCAGTGGAACAAGGTGAGCCCGTTGCATACTATTACTTCCTGTTTCGAACAAACGAGTTAGCGGAGGTTGGCCTTCCACTCTGTACAATTTTATTTATGCGCTTTGTGTAAATGTCTATCCTGCTAACGCCTAAACTTTTACAAGTTTTTAGTTGCGACTTCGTGTGTGTGCGTGTGTTATAAAGGTGTGTTGGACTCGTGCAGTTGTCATATCTGAAAATTTACCCAACTTGTAACGGGGCACCCTGAAGCTTGTACTGGTAACAGTACAAGCTACTTATTCTGACGACAGAATGAGGTGGTGCCGCGTAACCTCACGTACACTCGTACGTGCAGAGGAAGACGGTAAGAAGAAGTGAGTACTTGGTTAAAGTAAAAAGTAGAACTGTAATTACCATAGTTAATGTCTGTTATTAAACCACTGTTTATCTTCGTCTAACTATGTCTGAATACAAATGTGTAAATCAACCATCTGCTCACCACTCATTGCGTGCGTCTGTCGTGGCGCGTCTTCGTTGGTTGATGTAATGGCCTATATCAACCAATTAGGAACTACTCGTAAGTGCTGCAGAATATTTGTCCTTATGACAATATTCTGAGAATACACCTCTTACAGTAATATTTTAGTAACAATTTCTTATAAATAGTAATGTAACGATTCACTCCGTTACATCACCCCTCCCCTTAACCATCAGTCAATTTAGTGACTGATTGACTTAATGGATACTCGTCCCAAATCATTTGGGACAGGGTTTGCACTTGTTGGTCCGAGTCCACAGTCCATTAATTTCATCGCATGGTAAACAAGTGGAACGGGGTGAATCGTTACATTACAATTTATAAGAAATTGTTACCAGAATATAACTGTAAGAGTTACATTCTCAGAATATTGTCATAAGGACAAATATTCTGCAGCACTTACGAGTAGTTCCTAATTGGTTGATATAGTCCATTCTATCAACCAACGAAGACGCGCCACGACAGACGCACGCAATGAGTGGTGAACAGATAGTTGATTTACACATTTGTATTCAGACACAGTTAGACGAAGATAAACAGTGGTTTAATAACAGACATTAACTATGATAAATATAGTTCTACTTTTTACTTAAACAAGTACTCACTTCTTCTTACTGTCTTCCTCTGCACGTACGAGTGTACGTGAAGTTCCGAGGCACCGCCTTATTCTGCCATCAGAATAAGTAGCTTGTACTGTCATCAGTACAAGCTTCAGGGTGCCCCGTTACACCTGGTAGCACTTCGTAGTCCGTCCAAGGACCACGTTCACATCTAACATGAATATGTTGGATGATGAAGATGACCAAATCTTTCGCGCTACGCGTGCCGGCTACTCCCATTTGAGCGATGTCGAATGGGATGCGGTTGAACGGATGGGTTCAACCATGGGCATCCTTGCTGTTAGCGTCATGCTAGAGGCTCTCAATAGAGATGCCCAACATGCTACTATAGCCAAGTTCATTCAAAATGAACTTGACGCCGAACGCGAGAAAGTAGCCTTGCTTCACCAACAAGGTTCTCAACAAGCAGAGTTGTTGAGAGAACAGGGTGTTCAACAGTTTGAACTGCTGAGACAGCAGCAGGCTGCTGCTGGTGGGTCGATGCACTCGCGTCGACCCGAGACCTTGAAGATTGACATCTCCAAGTATAGGGGAGTCGAAGAGGACTCCCTCTTGAGATGGTTCGTCGAATTGGATGACGCCATAAGGGCGCGTCGCATCGACGATGGGGATATGCAAGTTGCATTTGCCCAGTCAAATCTGGCAGGACGTGCCAAGGCTTGGGCACTGGGGCTCAAGTTGCACGACCCTTTTGCGTTTGGGTCGTTGGAAGTCTTCAAGTCGCGGCTCAGACAAACGTTTGAACCGCCTAGAGCTGAGTTCAGAGCTCGAACCGAACTCTTGGAGCTCAAACAAGGTAAGCGTGATGTGCACGCTTACGCACAACATACACGACATCTTACGAGTTGTATAAGTTCCAACACGGTTGATGAACACACGTTGGTTTCGGTGTTCATGCAGGGTCTTGCGGATGGTCCCGTCAAGACTCGCCTGTTCCGACTTGAACTAGATTCACTAGAACAAGCCATTTCCATTGCGGAACAAAAAGACTTCAGTCTGAGACAGGCTCGCGCCAGGCTCGCGTCAGCTCGATATCATATCGTCAAACCGAGGCGATATGACAGCGGAGGTCCAGAGCTGATGGAACTCTGCTATGTAGAGAGCGAGAAGGCTCGCTCTACAGACTACATGAAATAGCAGAAATGCAACAGATGTCAGAAGACAGGACACTACGCTTATGAGTGTAGTGCCCCTCGTCCAGTGTCTCGCAATACTGGGTGTAGTAACCGTCCACCCATGAGATAGGGGCAGGGACGCGGGTCCGCTGTTGGTGCAAAGACGCAACAACGGGATGGACCGTCAAAAAACGGACAGGATCAGTAGGTGCGGAGCACCCTACTGGTCCAGCAACGTCAAGAGAATTTGTGGGCCTCTTGATGAAGGTTGCTCCCAACACACAAACGTTGTGCGTTGCTGCTCTAGGTAATGAGATCTCACTCATTACCTTGAAACGCGAAGTGACGAATAAGTTGTCCCTTCGAGCTCTAGTCGATTGTGGGGCGTCCAACAATTTTGTGCGACGCCAATCGCTAGAAGATGGTCACTTTAAATTCAGTGAATGTGACACACCTCCTACGAGGATGACGGTATGTCTTGCGACAGGCGCATCCGTAACCGTCATGAAGCGTATAGTGAAGATCCACTATACGCTAGAATATACCCAATATGACGATGACTTTATCGTATTGGATTTGGATGACAAATTTGATGTCATCCTTGGAATACCGTGGCTCAGAAGGTACGAACCACGGGTAAACTGGCAACATCGAACAGTAACGATGCCTGCCGCTTGTTCATCAGATGGCCATCTGATGAACGTTTTGGAGCGTCCACAAGCGTGTGGATGTACTCCGAGTGAGTGCGATGGCCTCACTTGTGGTACGGTCGTTAGTACGACTGCACAAAACCTTAGTGTAACAAACGGTTACACTTCGGAGCAAAGTTCCGGCGGCTGTGAGGAAACACAGGCTGTGCCGAAGGTCCATCACTCGAATGAGTCGAGTGGACCGGGACGAAGATGTATCCCTAGCATGGAACATCTAGAAGAGAAACAATCGATCGCTCAGGCTAAGCGAAACGATAATCCTAGATCGACTGGAGAGTCTTTCGTAGAGGATCTCTCTGTGGTTGTGCAACCACAGCTAGAGGAAGTTAAGGGAATAAGTCCCGATATTACAAATACGGTGGAAATAAGTTCCCCGAAACCCGAGGGAGTAAGTCCCCGGGAAGCCGAAGGAATAAGTCCTTCGAGGCCTGAGGGAATAAGTCCCCAGGAAATGACAGAGACATTGAATGTCATAGTCAATAACGGATCATGTGTAGGCGCTTATACACTTGATCTGATTGCACCTCCGAAGTTGACTTCGGAGATCACTCAGTCGCCAGCGCTCGAACATAAAAGGTTCTTGCGTGATCTGCGTAGTGGCAAAGTCAAGCAGATCTGCGTACTCGTCGCTGACGACGAGTGTGTAGCCGACATAAGGTCAGCAACAGTGTTTACTGAGAACGAGAGAGTTCTCAGTAGTTCATCTATGGACGAGAGTGTCCTAGATGAAAAGACACGAGTTGAGCGATATGACTCCCAATCGTGGGAATCGCTCAAGACAAATCCTCTCTATGAAGATTTGGTTGAATTCAAGGATGTATTCCCTGAAAGTGTTCCGTGCGAATTACTGAAGGATAAAGGTATTCGACACGAGGTAGAGCTTAAACCAGGCTCGAAGTACTGTGTCATGAAGCAGTGGCCACTGCCTCGTGAACAAGTACTTGCGATCGATAAGTTCTTTGCCGATCGTTTAGCTGCGGGCCATGTGAGATAATCAACTTCCCCACATAGCTCTGCGACCTTCTGTGTGCGAAAAGCAACAAGAGGGTGGCGGATAGTGCATGCATTTAACAAGTTGAATGCTGCAACGGTACCGGCTCAGACGTCGATACCGAGGAAGGACGTAATCATTGATGGCATGTCAAAGAGTACCATCTTTTTTGTCCATGGATTTGATGGATGGCTTCTATCAAATCCTTATGCGAGAACGGGATATACCCTATACCGCAGTTAGCACGCCTAGCGGCATGCTCTGGGAATGGCTAGTAACGCCACAAGGGCTTAGTAATGCCCCTGCCACGTTCAACAGATGTGTATCACATCTGTTGAGACCAGTACAAGAATTCGCGCCGAGTTATTTCGATGACGTATTCATCCATAGTCGGGCTATGGATGGAAAGTCGGATGTTGAGGTTCACAAGTACCACGTCCGACAGGTTCTTACAATCATGCGAAAGTATCAATTGTATGCAAACCTCAAGAAGTGTATATTTGCAGCAAGCGAAATACCACTTCTTGGGTGCATCGTTGGTAAGAACGGTGTACGTCCTGATCCCGAAAAGATCAAGGCGATCACCGACTGGCCTGTGCCGGTTGATGTCAAAGGTCTTCGAAAATTCCTTGGGCTAGCGGCGTATTTTCATAAGCATTCACGCAATTACGCCGAGATGACTGTGCACCTCTCTCGTTTGTTGAAAAAGAACGAGAGGTGGTTATGGAACGATGAATGTCAGCGCTCCTTTGATGGTATCAAGCAGAGCTTGATACAATCCCCAGTCCTAGCAATAGCCGATCAGGACAGGCCATTTCATGTGGTCTGTGATGCCAGCGATTTTGCAATCGGCTGTGAATTAATGCAGTACGATCTTGAAGGCATTGAACGCGTCGTCTGCTATCAGTCGCGTCAGCTGCAACCAGCTGAGCGGAACTATCCAGTGCATGACAAGGAACTCCTTGCCATGAAGTATGCACTTGCGAAGTTCAGAGTCTATCTATTAGGAGATAGACCCTTCATTGTTTACACTGACCATGCGTCATTACGCACGGCAGTGAACAGCCCGCACCTTTCACAACGAATGGCGCGGTGGTTTTCATTCTTTGCAGAATACAACTTTACGGTCGAGTACAAACTAGGACGACTCTATGTCGTCGCTGATGCACTCTCACGTCGTCCCGACTTTGAACCAGTTGTGAAACCCAACAGTGAGACAGTCACTGTTGCGGTTATGACGTCCTCAGTCCCATCTTCAACGTTGCATGATGATGTGAGGCGGGCGTATGCCCAAGATGGTGAGATTGTGAAGTTGTTGACACATCTCTCACAGCCATCTCGAGAATCGTTGAAACGATTGTCGTCTGCGTTTCGATCTGCATCAGATTGATACACTACTCGCAACGGGTTACTGTATTATACAGCCGTTTCTGGTGACACACCACGTGTTGTCATTCCAGATGATACTGATCTGCGTTTGCCGATCATGTTCGAGTATCACAATGCTCCTATAGGAGGACATCGTGGCCAGGAGAAAACATATCTCACGGTGAGTCGAGACTTTTACTGGCCCCGCCAGTATCAGTTTGTGCGCAAGTGTGTTCGCGCATGCGAAGTCTGCCAACGAGTGAAGTCAAGTCCTTCACTGCGTGCACCTTTACAGCCTCTACCGGTTCCGGCTGAGTGCTGGGAATCCATCTCAATGGATTTTGTCTTCGGGTTACCCAAAGACGCACGCGGGAATACGAGTATTCTCGTATTTGTTGACAGATTCAGCAAAATGGTACACCTTGTGGCTGTACCAGAGTCAATCGCGGCAAGTGGCTGTGCTTGTGACTTTATTGACACCATCTTCCGACTTCATGGGTTGCCCTGTGAACTCGTATCAGACAGAGATCCACGATGCACTGCCGATTTCTGGCGTTCCGTGTTCAAATCACTCGGAACGCGCTTGAAGATATCTACATCTGATCATCCAGAGTCAGATGGTCAGACCGAACGTGCCAATCGTGTCCTCGAAGAGATACTTAGAGGATACGTACACTCATTTAAGCGTTGGAGTGAGTTTTTGCCAATGGTAGAGTTTGCCATTAACAACTCGGTGCATGCGTCCACGAACCATAAACCGTTTTACGTGAATGGCTTGCGCCATCCGCGTGTACCCACCTTACTAAAGTGTAACTCTGGTTTAAAGGGGAAGAGACTCGCGCGAGCAAAAACCAATTTGGTTCACGCTCATCTCGCTCTGACGAAGAGGTCATTGCGTTTGATACCGATATCGACAACATTGATATCGAAGAAGATGATGCCAGTGAGAGTGCGGAAGCCCTCACTGAAGAAAAGGTTGATGTTGCTGCAGTGCGCTCACAGCGCACTGTAGCTAACGAGTCATCAGATGAGTTCATACTGGCTCGTGAAACGGTAGTCCGTTTTGTGCAAGACTATATCGCCGAAGCGGCGGATAAGCAAAAGCAAAACGCAGACAAGAATGGAAGGCCAGACACTCTTTTATTTAATAAAGGTGACTTAGTCCTACTGTCTACGGTTAATCTACCAAAGCATGTAGTGACTAACTTGGGTAGCAGTAAACATCTACCCAAGTACATCGGCCCATTTCGTGTATTGCATCGCCTAGGCAATGCATACACGATCGAGTTGCCACGTAAGATGCGAACGCATCCCACGTTTTACGTTGGTCGGCTTAAGCCGTACCATCAGGACGCTGTTTCTTCCGATGAAGAACGCCCTTGCGTTCGAGCATCTCGCAGAGAGTCTTGTGCTCCCGATGGTGGGCATCGACAAGGGTCTGAAGAGCAGTTATCTCATCCCGAGACCGATCAACAATACCACGAGCTACACTTAGCTCGTCACGAAGATATGTCAGAGCTCTCTCGTTCTCAAGCTGAGCAAAGGCAAACTCAGCTCGATGCTTCGAGACAGCGTCCGCCAGTTGGAGACGCCTGTCCCGCTCATGTTCGAGATCGCCACGTAACCCTTGCGTTACGCGATCAAAGAAGCTCTCGGGAACACACGGATCCCCACGATTGTGTGGAGAGCGTCTTCCCTCCTCCTCCACCTCCATTGGAGGACTCTCGCGGTGGCCAGCGCTATCTGGTAGAGCGGCTGTTGAACCACCGCGACGTGAACGGACGTCGGACGAGTTATCCCGTCCGGTGGCGCGGTTATCCCCCGTCCTGGGATTCTTGGGAGCCCCGCTCCCAGCTGATAGTTGACGTACTGGGTCTGGTCGAGCAGTACGACGCGGCACATCCTTTGCCGCAGAAGGACCGCCGGAGAAAGTCTTCCCGGCACGGTCGAAAA